ACGGCATCGTTCTTCTGCTGCATGCCGAATGGCTCCTGGCCACAACGCTGGTTCCACCTTGGACTGATGGAGGATGAGTCGAAGTCGACGTTTGACCTGTTGCACTTCAGCCTCTGCTCGACCATTGCTCTGAGGATCATCTCCTTGTGTGAAGGTGTGGATCATATGGCGATGTCCACACCACGTGGCCACTCTTCTTGACAGCAGCCCTTTTTCTCTGTCGCTATGCAACCTGACTAGATTGACTCCCAGGCAGCGAAAGCGTGCATGTAGTCGAGATAGTCCTGCCAGCAGCGAAGTCACACTCCGGTCCTCCAAAATCTCGACCATCGTAACATTCTGGAGTTTGTGAGGCTTCATCAGCTCTTGAATTATCTGGCGCTCCTCTTGATCTGCCGGTTCTTCTTCCACTTCTGCCTCCTCCATCCCTCCTTCTTCCTCCTGTGGTACTTGATCCTCAGCTTCTTCTTCTTCGAAGCCTCCCACAGGGTTGACTTCTTCCATGTCAGCCTCCTCCAGGTTCTCCACCTCAGGTGCCCCTGGAAGTTGATCAGGAACTGGAATGGGCACTGTGCCCAGCAGTGCATACTTGGCCATCCTTCCAGTTGCTAAACCCTTGCCATAGGTGAACGGGCCCATGATGTCAATCGCCAATGTGAAGGCTGCCGACGCCGTCTTCGATCTTCGATGAGGATGTTGCATTCCCATCGCTTCAACACAAGCACGGCAGTCGCGCCTAAACGGCACATGCTGCATTCTGACGTGTCTACGCCACTCATCCAGGTTGAATTTCGCCACTTGAACTGTTTCTTCATCATACCTGAGCATCTCCTTGAGCGAATACTGGATTGCCCTCACAAGGCCCGTGGACCATTCCGACCAGCTTCTCGATGTTGCCATGCGTCGATTTAGGTCTCCACACACTGGATGCGTCGTCCCACCTCCCTTGCAGAACTCCAGCTGCTCCATCATTGGTAAGTTGGTCAGTAGTCCCGTAGGCTTTCTTCTACAATGACCTGTGGCTCCTTGGTCGAAGCAGACCATCTTCATAGTTTCATCTTCCTCCAGAAGTCGCTGTAGTTGAGGCCATTCAAAGAACGACGGCGACTCCTGGCCCTCTGCGGTGTCCAAATAGGTAGCTGGATCCTGTGGGCTTTCCAACAGAAACCCCGTCATGCCCTTCTTCTTCAGGCTCTGTTCGGACATCTTCCATAGTGCAACTTGCTTGAGCACCAGCGCAGAGTCGTTGTTGGTGAGCTGTGCCTCCTGCTCTGTCATCTGCTGAACCCCCCACCTTTCCGGTCCTCTTCCACGAACTCGGCGTGGTCCAGGTGGTCCCTTGTTTCGAAGCCTGGAGGTCGTCCGACATGGTGGACCTCCAATGATTGCCCTCAGCTGCCCTTGCTTGGCCAATGAACATAGGTATCCCCACACATGTGGTGAGTGGAGATCAAACCGAGATCCAAGCTGCGTGTCCAAGAACAGCCACACATATCCTGAGGGTAGTGTCTTCTTCCAGCGGGTCAAGTTCGCTCCGGAAAACAAGTGCACAATGACCCCCTTTGCTGTCTGATGAGACCTTCGTTGCCTCCTATTCCAAGGCAGCTCCTCCCCCGAAGGGTTCCACGACTGGCCCTTCATGTAGGTCAACAGCTCCTTGGGAAATCCTGGTACATTCCCCAACCACCATGCCACATCCTCCGGCTCCAAGTCTAGGCGCTGGGATTCCATCTCCTCGAACTCTCGAAGCATATCCAGTGCCTTGCGGCGATTCATAACTGGGCAGCCTCCTCGCAGCCAACAGGAAATTGGTCCCTGTCTAGGATGCTTGATGACGCACCCCTCCTTGGACCATTGGATCTGAAACCCATGATGCACCAGCAGTGTCAGGGGTATGATTGGTTCCACCAAATCCAATGATAGCAGAGTACTACAACCTTCCTTTCTGTAGAGTGTAGTCGAACCGTGAGCGAGCTCTACCTGAACTGGGACGAGATGTCCTCGCTCTTCTGGCTCTGCTGTCCTCAGTGGATGTGTTGCCCCTCCATCGAGCAATGCCACCTCCTGCTCAACCCCACTTCCAGGCTGAATCGGACACACTTGCTTCAATCTGCATGCCTTGAGTGCCCTCAACGACTTTAGCAGTCCAGTAGCTTCCGCCAACAGGGCTGTGGTTGCCTCCGTGTTTCCGGTCGAAGCTCCACCACCGCCACCTTCCTTCTCCCCCTCCCGACTCCCTGATGCCTGTGAACTCTTCAAGGACGCCGGGCTCTGTTGGGATGTAGTCGTAGTAGCTGCATCCGAACCTTTTGATGCATCAGAGTCCTCCGTACCTTTCACCGGCGACTCCTTGTTGAGCGGGGCATTCTTCACCTTCGCAACCTTCTTTGAATCCTTCTGATCTTTGTCCTTGCGAGTTGGGCACTCTCTTGACATGTGCCCCTCCCCACTGCAGACATAGCATCTGTTCTGCTTGTTGATGCTCTCCCAAGAGTGCCCATAGGTGCATTGATCACCTCGTCGACAACCTTGAGTCGAGCCCCAAAACCTGCACGGAGTCCTTGGCTTTTCCTCCGTTGACCCTGTCGAATTGAATGCTGCCACCTTCGGAGCGTTCCCCCCCGTCACTGAGGCAGTATTGATACTCAGACCTGTTGTGTTTCCCTTCGATGAGCCCACCACCAAAGCCAAATCCTCAGCCTCAGCCTGGACGTACTCCGCGTACTCCATGATGGATTCCATCGTTGGGCACTGATCCACAGCAAGATCTTGCCTTGCCGCCGCCATCCTGAACGAGACCTGAGCTCCTCCTTGTCGACCCAGAGCTTCAGTTACTCGATTTAACACCTGCACCAACACCAATGGATCTGGAGTTGCCAGATTCAGCTCCTGAGCTCGTTGAATCCAGCGCCTCCATTGCCGAATTCCTGACAGGACGTCCGCCACTCCATGACCCACCTTCAGGTCAGTAATGCTCTTCAAAAGTGCAGTCCGTTCGGCTGACCCTCCTGGTTGAAAGATGGTGTACAGCCGGAAAAGGATTCCCAAACAACTGACCTTCCGGGAAGCAATAACATCTTTTCTCACTTGATCCGGAAGAACTCCCAACAAAATTGTCACTCCACGATGCTCCACCCTCTCAAAGCTCGGGTCCACGGGGCGCTCCACCTTGAGTCTCAACCGTTCGAGCGGCTTCAACTTCAGCCAAGTCTCATAGAGAGCCTCCGCTTCGATGACATTCGCTTGCCACCACCCCCTCGCCGATGCCGAAAAGTCCGACATGAGAGGCATAGCCACCGTCAGCCAATCTCCAAACGCCAATGAGGCCCCATCGCTTCCCGGCAAAGGAAGTGAAGGAAGCTCCAAGCTCCGAAACACTTCATTCACAGGTCCACTGGTCTGCTCGGACCTCGTTGAAGAACCCTGAATTCCAGCACCATGCAACCCTGGGGGACAATCAAGACCACGTACTTGTGAACCTCCTCGATCCGGTGGTAGAGAATGTCCATGGGACTCCAACCCAATTCCAGAGCGTGGTGCATCGACCCGGGGTTTCCCTTGCTCCCGACCAGCACTAGGAACCGACTCAAACGAAGACGATTCGCCACCCCCCGTGATCTTCTTGATCTCTTTTGCGAACAGAGTTTCTGCCTCCTTGAGAACCTTCTCCCTGATCGCCTCCACTTCAAGATGGGTTGGAGATCTCCGAACATCACCTGGAGGTACTGGATCACATCCCGACCTGCTCCTCGCCACACCCACCGGAGCCTGTGAGCTCCAGAAGGGATTGATCTCTGCCCCTCTTGCCTGTGGCGGTGTGGTCATGAAATAGGGATCAAGCACCCTCGGTTGCAGCCCAGACTCTATCCCAGGTCCATAGCTAGTTGGCCTTCCTTGTGGTGGAAGAGGATGTTGTGGGGATGCAACCATGCTACCATGCCCTCCATGAACATCAGAAACACTACCGGCAAGATGTCCAAGATCGTGTGGATGCAAAAGAGGAGCTAGTAGACCCTGATTTTGGGGGTTGCCACCAAATGCCCTTTGCAACACTTCCAGCGACTGTCGAACTGAGTCTAGTAGACCCGGTACAGATTCGCCCGACATCTGCCCTGCTCCTGCTTCCCGATCCCTGGCACGACCCTGCGGCTCTCTGCTCGTCCTCCTCGTCGAGGCACTCGTCATCGCCGGGGTCGCCTGGGCCGTCTGGCCCGGAGCAGCTGCCAACCTCCGCACTGCCGCTGTGGTTGCTGGCACCGATGCAGCTCTTCCTTCACGGTCTTCTTCGATCAGCCTGTCCAGCCGTTCCTCCGCCGCACCAACTCTCAGCACCCCCGGCCTGTCGCCGGGATCCACCATCCGCTCTTCTGCTCTGGAGCGGCGGCGCCTCGACTGGAACGCCATGGGGACCAGCTACCTCCCAATGGGAGGGTGGACTTCCACTCACGAGGTTGGGCTCATAACCTAAGCATCCGCAAATGGACAAAAGCTGTCTTTTCTTGAGCCAAAGCATCAAGTTGCTGTTTTGTTTACAGCTCAAGGGAATGGAATGCAACCTCAGACACAAATGGACTCTTCACTGGAGCGGGGTGTAGGAGAGACTCTGAACACTGACTGCTGTGACTCATAGGGAAGACAGGGAAGAAGGGAATGCCGTCCACTAATAGATACCCGAAAGAATACTCGTTGGGATCCAGGCACCCTCATTGCATCAACTCGTACCAGTCAGAAAAGGACAACACAGAAGTAGCAGTGTAAGAAGTAACGCGCCCAAGTTTTGACCCAGAAACGAATCGGTCACCAGGGGTCCAACCCTGGAACTATGGACATAGAGAGACGTAGAGACGGGTCCATCGCATGGTATGCTACATTTTACATGTTGTAAACGATCGAAATCCATTTGATCCTTCTTGGAGAACCAATCGCAACCCAACAAATTTGGGACATTGCTTCGGCCGAGACATCAACCTTCCAACCATCGAGAGATGTTTCATGCGCAGGAGGAGAAGCCCAAGTTCCGCGCCACGAAGCGACCTGGCGAAGTGCCGCGGTGCCGGACCTTTTCTTTGGAAAGCAAGAGACCCAGAATAGTGATGTACTGTATATGATAATATAATGTAATATATACTAATACATTTATCGTCATGTATCCTGTTTATCACCACCCCAATGTAAGTAACTATTCCAGCCCCATGGATGGTCTGGGAGAGGTCAAGAGACCAAACGTGGGACGCTAGTTTCATTCCAGAGGGGTCCATCACCCAATGGCCCAGGCCTGTTGACGTTCTGAAGAACCTTGGTTGGTGAACCTTTCAATGACAAACCTGCTGGTACAGTGCAGAATTTGTTTTGAGACAGTGTTTTTTTCTCCAGGCTGGACTCTGGACAAGCTGTTTGGAGGCCGAACATGATGGTGGTGGTGAACATCTCTAGACATTGGTGGTTTTGGAGCAGGTGCGATTTCTTTTTTCAGCTACGACATCCGTTGACCGTGGTAAATGGATAGTTCACCAGGTGGCGCAGTAATTGATTGGGTTCCTTTATCTCTTAAGTTACATGGCTCTTCCAGCCCCAATTGATCCATACTTGTACGAGGGAGTAGCCTCTATACCCAATATGTATTTGTATCGACCAACCTCCCTGCGGCACCCGACGCTCGCAGCGCGTTCGGTTCGGCACGTTTGTCCCGGGTGTCTTCCTTAATTGGACAACAGCCATCCCTGTGCTGTCGGGAGAGGACATCAGTCATCGGATCTTGGGAAGTCCAAAGCGTCCGTTTTGGAGCCATGGGCATTTGGAGCCATGGGCAGCCATGGGTTTGCAGATGCTTTTTGGGGCAGCCCTTGGTGTCGTGAAAGGAGCCTTGAGCCAGTTTCGTCCTCCTGCCGTCTCCAAGTTGCTTCCTTTGACCTGCAGTCTGGTGACTCACCCGAACGAACCGTCCAGCGTGGATCCAAGCTGACAGGTTGCCGCTCTCCTTCCCGCTGCTCGCACTGAACCAGCGGATCTTTGTGGAAGAGGTCCTGGAAGGTGGGCCACGGTATGCGGCGCGCCCGGTAGGCTTTGCCTCACTGGTGGTGATCGAACCGTTTCGTCGTTTCAGGGTGCGCATACCGAAATGTGAAACGAGAAGTCTCCTGTGTTTTAATGCACTTCTTTGGTTTCATGATGTTCCATGATGTTCCATAGCTCCTGTGTGTGTGTGTGTGGAGTTGCAGAAGTGTGTAGTGTGTATTATCAACTGATGGGTGTTGCAAGTCTCACACTCAGCGAGAAGTGCACCTATGTTATCTGGCTATGATGGTGATGATGGATTGGACGGAGTGTGGCGGAGGCGCTGGCACCCTCAGCGCATTGTGGAGCACACGAAAAGGATGAGGTTTGATGATGTTTGATGATGATGGTCACACTGAGTGTTTCGGGAGAATTGGATTTGCATGAAGAAGATGCAAGTTCATAACGGAATATCATTGGAAAAGCACACTTTTGCAACAACTGCAGGTTGGGCTCTACCATGCTCTACCCCCATCTTTCAGGCAGATCCCAGATGCTTCAAACCAATGGCATTGGAAGCGTAGTTTGAAAGAAAACATATAGTTTGTTTGGATTTTCAATTTGGTTGGAACTCTTGTGTCTGACAAAGATGTTGACATATATGTTGACACACACAAAACTAACTCAGTCGAACCCAGTACAGTAGGTCATTTTGACCAAGCCACTGAAAAGAGATCGCGTTCGTTTCCAGGTCTCGAACACCAAAATCGAATACAATAAAACATATAAACAAAGGCAATGAGCACAATCGAACATACAAACAATAAAACATCGAACATACAATCAGCACCACGTCCACATGTGCTTCCACACCGCCGTTCACGTCGCCACAGCACCTCCAACGACGCCGCTCTACGTGGGCGACGAGATCCGGGAAGTCAACCACCGTCGCGAGAAGCGAAAGGGATGAAGCGACAGGGTGCCGGAGAAAGCTTCAGAACAGCTTGAGCCAGTTTCAGTTGATTTTGTGCATTTCTGAGTCAGCTGCTGCGGGGGATTCTTGCAGAAGGAATTGGGGAAAACACATTCTAGTAGATAAGCCGTGGGCGAGTTTTTCGACCAAGTCATGTTGTTGCTGTCGCCGCTTCCCACTGATCAAAACATATGCTAAATAGTTACCTACATACACTATAACAAACGGTGAATTTGAAGTTGTTTGTTGTTTGGAGGTGGGCAATAAATAGTATAATGAGCGAAGCTGTACTACTGCATCCTGAGACCCTTGTGTTCTTTCCGTGGCTTCTGTGGGGCTGCTCCACCTGCGGAACCGCATCAAAAACCGGGTCAGTGGTTGAATGGGACACAGGGTCCCCATAATTGAAGACAATCCCTAAGGGTCCAGGACCACTTGAATCAGATGTCCCTTGGGCTCAAAGACCATTGTCTTAAAGTACTTTCACCACCTTTCACCTCCAAGACCATCAACAGGAGGCACCTGGACCCTATGGGAACGATCATGCAGAGAAACTGATGAAAGCCGTGAGCAACATGCTCGACGTCATGAAAGCCGTCATCCACAGTGATCAAACTGAAATATTAAGCTTGGAATCTGTGATTGTCCCTGCAAAGACAAACCAAGGCTGCGCGATCTCAAGAGCATTTGTGTGGTTTGAGAGCGCCCGGAAGCCGTCATTGAGGTTTACTCGAGACATGCAACTACAAACATACATTATGCATTTATGATTATTTGATATTCTTTGTGTATGTACATCACAGTAAGTGATTGAACATGACTTCTCGATCTCAGAACAGCAAACGAAGATAAACCGCATTGGTGCATGACCAGACAATGATCGGTTCTTTTTGCAGGGATATTGAACCAAAGACTGAATGAAAGAAGCAATCCATCACAATCCATCCGCGAATGGAGCTCCGCGGGTCGCCGAGGTCCGGTGAGCAGCTTGAAGAAGGGGGAGCCACTGAGACGAAGAGCCCTCCCTTGGAAGAACGGCGATGATCGATGTGTCAACGATGGGATCCAGAGATTCATGCATGTTCATGCATTGCACGATGTTCTGCCAGCAAGCTGGGACTGGGAGTGGTTTTGTATTTGCTTTTCCGCTCGGGGGCAGGAGGCTCGGTCCCTGTAATCCGGACCCGTGCCCATGTTTTCTGCGCTTCCATTGTTTTGTGTCTTTTCGGAAACACGTTTTGAAGTTCATGGGCTTGAGGTCGTTTTCAAAGGCCCATGGTGCGAGGGATGCTGCCTGAGCGGACCTGCATTATCAGCATTTAGTGTCTTTGCTTGCTCTTCTCCTCTTCCTCGGTCTTTTCCTCTTGCTCTTGCATTTTATCTTTCTTCTCTTGCTGTTCATATTTATGTGTGTTTTTGTTCTTCCTCTTTTTCTCCTTCCTGTTCCTCTTCCTTTGCCTCTTCCATCAACCATCGACCTCTTCCTCTTCCTCTCATACCAGCAGGTGCCCGGCGTAAGCCTTTAAATAGCATGTCCACAGAATTTGGGGTGTCCACGCAGTGTTCCATTGTGTGATGTCCATTGCCCAGCAAGTCCAGTCAACTACAAGTATTTAAAAGCATGGTCTGAGTCAGTGTCTCCAAACAGAACTTCCCTTACTTCAGTGGGGCAAAATCTGTTGAACTGGACTTTGAATGGAGTTCAGTGAGGCAAAATTCCTTTACCCCTTTGTACTCCTTTACTTCAAAGTGATGGCCTCCAACCTACTAGCGATGGCCTCCTACCCGCTTTTTACTCCTTTACTTCCAACATGTGCCTTTTGGTGACATCCGTTGACCATCCGACCTCAGGTTCTTTCAGCTCTTCGACCAAGCGTTGTATGGCGGGGTCTTCAAGTCCCCTGGTGAGAGGAAGGTCGACTGGTTCACGGAAACACTACTGCATGTATGGATTCTGGAAGAATTCCCCATGAGGTCGATGGCATTCCTCAGCCAGCTGAGATCAGTGTCGAAGTAGACGTCTTAGAGATCCAAAAAGAGTCTAAGACCTCGATCACGTTTGGTAAGCACCTGACCAGGCCACTAGGTCATCCAGCTTGTTTTTGTTTCTATTTTGAGGCTGGAGAGACTTGTGTGAGAGTTGGAGGAGGTCAAGCTCGATTTTGCCTCAATGGTTTCCCATCCTGCACAACGCTGACAGAGTTCGGGAGGCTTTGCTCTTAGAGATCCAGGAAATCCTGTGTATCACTGTACCTCTAAGAGTCCTGGGTGTTCAGAAGCTTAGGCTGGCCTCCCCGGTAGTCTATTATCTTCATGTTCATGGGTAACCAGAATCCAAGGGTTTTACCGTTTTGATATGTCTTGACCCACTCCGGCCCAAGGTTGCACCGTGGAAGTCTCGACTGTTACTTCCAGAACCGCCGGTCACCTGAAGGCACGTAGACCAGTTGCCACCTTGTGCGTACGGACGACGCCTGTCCCGCGACGCGCCCCGCGACGCGCCCCGCGACGCGCCCCGCGATGTCAGGAACATCGGTTTCTGCGGAGCTCTCGGCAACTTAGATGTGGGACGAGCCAGTCGACATGTTTGCATTGTTTCGCCACTTGTTTCGCCATGCACGAGGGGTCTGATGGAAGAACAAACGCCACTGGTTCATCGACAAGACGTTCCTATAGGCAAGACGGCAAGGTGTGTTTGTCTTGAAACTGATTCCTTCAATTGAGTGCTAGCAAGAATGAACACAACAATAGAATAGATTTGGATTCAACATTAGTTCATATTAATTCATAGAAGTCCAACTACAACGGCCTCGTGAGGTAATTCTTTTTCGGGGGCCCTGGATTTGACTTCATAAATGAGATTTGTCAAATCTTCTCAATCCCAGGCCGCTGGCTCCAACGGCTTGGGTTGGCTCTCTCTCTCTCTCTCTCTTGCTTCGCAGGCCACCTTTTTAGCCCAACACCTTCCAGGTCTCTCAGTCCACGCCTGTTTGGGCTACCACCGCTTACAACGGCACGTGTCGAGTTTTCCAGAGTTATACACCGGCACACGTCCCTTTTGGCTCACAAGGGTTTCCTGGAACATCTTTTTTCCCTGAAGTTCTTAGAAGCTACCTTTTCTTTGGAACACTATCTTTTTCCGGCCCACCGCAGTCAACCCGCCGCAGCTCCCAAAAACCACCACACCACGGTCTGAGGTCTTTTGCATCATCGCCAGCATGTCCGACGAGGAGGTGTTGGCCCTCCGGGTCGCCGGCGGAACCACCGCAGGCGGTCCGCCACACGCTCCGCCACCGAGCCGGCCGATGCCGGGGCGAACGTGCTGGGGGAGGCGTGGAACATGTGGCCATGGTTGGCCCAGAAGTCTATTATAGAGATCCATTGTTAAGAGCTACAGACTGCTTGAACAGGTGCTCAATGGAGCGAAGGATGATGACATACAGCTGCAAATGGCATACGTTGTGGGGCTGGTATCGAGAACGGCCAAAGAGTAGGACAACTGGGCATAACCTGCAAGCGCAGCAAGCTACACTGGTCCTCAAAATCGAAATCTGCGAGGTCTGAAGACCAGGTCTTTGTAGAGTGGGGTAATTATTGTTCTGCAGGTCTGAAAACAGGTCTTTGTGGCGTGGTATGTAGCTGCAAACAACTAGCGACGTTGTTTTCCATGCATAGTGTTTGGCTGAGGAACCATTTCTTGTCCATAAATGTTCATATCACAATACTCGAGAGCCGTGCCAGAAGTTGATCCCTTGGTCCAACAATGAAGAGCCTATATCCCTACAACCCATGAGTTAGGTTTCCTTTGCGACCGTCTTTTTTCAATATTGTTTTCCTTACCCTTCCCCCGCCCCCGAGCTGCTCAGTTCTTGCATCTGAAGCACGTCCCACATCCCGACCCACACGCCCCGACAAGTTGCACAAGTTTCGTGCGTCCCACCGGTTTGACCCCACGTGCTGCGACGGGACAAGCATGGACAAACCAAACAGGTGAGCTTAAGCAGCAGGTGGAGAGGCAGTTGCACGTCCCCACTTTTTGCCAGCAGCTGCTCGGGCGGAGTTAGACATCGGCCGGTCCCGGGGCGTGGAGCTGGAGCGCGGAGCTGTGAAAAGTTGAGCGGTTGGATCATGTTGGACCTGGTTCTTTTCGAGTCGTGAATTGAGTGGAACTGTGCCAGATGGCCGTTTTGGGGCAAAGGTTTGGGCCACCAAGAGACTGAAGCACAGGTCAGATGATCAAAAGGCTCTTTCCGATGAGACTTCTAGGCTCACCTAATAGAACACACTAGAGCAATGCCATCCATTCATCCGATCTCTTTTGTGAGGCTCGTACACGAGCGTCGGGCGCTGGAGGAGACTGGACGAGCAAAGTGTGTGACCTTTGATGAGCCTGGCGTGACCTTAAATCAGGAAGACCACAAAGACCGTCTTTTCATCTAGACATACTGTTGCAATCATTATTACCCATGTTCGATGAGTGATAATTGCTTAGACCCCGTTGGGAACATGTGTGAAGATGTGTGATGTCTCAGTCGATCCCCTCCCTTCAGTGTGCTAGTGGATTCTTTTGCCGAAAGAGGGTCCCTATGCAAATCCACCTCGTTGGCGCCTGACCCTGGCACCCCATCCGTGAAGACAGGTTCACTTCGCCACTCCCTTTGTGAATCTCGCTCAAATCTCCAAGATTGTCACATATCTCAGAGAAAAGGTATCACCGATCTCCAGGAGATTGTCACATTTTTCATATCTCGTTTGATCGAATCTCGGGATGTGTTTTTCATTGTTTTTCTCTCTCCCCGGGCCCCCGGACGAGAAAGGACACCGCAGTCTTGACCAGCCAAGAGCCGATTGGGCTTCGCTTGATCCTGCTACGATGCTCGGCACCGATGCAAGGCATCGAACCAGGAGTTGCGCAACCAGAGTTCGGTCGTAATGGTACCAGCAGCAAGGGCCGCAGCGAAGGTCTTCCAGGTATCACGTGTAACTACCCCCCAAATAGTTTTCATATAGTTGCCATGCATGGTATGACCGTCGTGTGGGGCAATCATACCAATTCATTGACTTGCGGAGACGATTCATACAGTGGCCTTGACTATTGAGTGTTGACAGAGCTTCTATTCATGGGATGCCATTCGGTGGTTTCAGTTCATCACAACGGTTTACGTCGGGACGTTCCCAAGACATCTCAGATTCTCTTGCTTCTCCTCTTCTTCACAGTGAGCAAGACCATTCATCCAATACCCAGCACCCATGGCTCCCCAGAACTCATGATGCGTGCATCTTGTGAGATTCTGCGCAGTACTTGTCATCCATGCGGAAACACCTCGTGGGATTTCCTCTGCTTGTTTTTGATCCAGTGCGGCCTCCAAGCACTTGTCATGGCTGCCTCACAAGAACACAAAGAACATAATGGTTAAAGAGGTTTTATTGCACACAATCCAACAATATCCAACATGTCTACCAAGAACCTGCAGATCTGTTCATGTGTTCCACAGAAAATACATGAACATGATTGAACATTGTACTCCTCACCACAGATGTATAAACAGTCTCAAGGACTCCTCTCAAGAGACTCTTTCCCCTTCCAAGGACTGGCACTTTTTACTCAAGAGGAATTGGGCCATGCCTTGGCTCGGACGGCTCGGAAGAACCGCCGAAAGCGATCGCTGAAGCGCCAGCGGGATCGATCCCTCGGTGGTCGGTGCGATGAACCAAAGCCGAATTCGGCACGGACGGTATAGACCGGGTATACACAGTATACACATGTAGAATTACACCCCTACACACCCCTTCAGGCAAGTCTTCTTTGGACTTTGGACATATATAGTCATCATAGTCAAACTTCAGATTGTGCCATAGTTGTTTTCTGTTTTTTGCATGTCAGGATTCTATATGTAAGACTTGATCCACAAGAACACCCCCGGGAAACTGATCCTGTGTCTAGATTGCCAATGTAGCTTTCTGGTACTTTGTCCGGTGGTTTGGATGTACTTGAACCATCTTACAGCTTACATCATCTTACTTCAAGCATGTTGTGTGTGTGTTCTCCATGCCATATTGGATTTGATATCATCGAAATAGAGTGTCTTGTAATTATTGCGGCCCCAAACACTGCCGACGGTCCCGGCGTGGTTTCGGGACGCGGATTCGACGAGACCGAGGCCTCGGGGATTCACGCTGATTTGGGTTTGGCCTTTTGCGATCCGGCCTTTCTACCACCAGGCGGAGATCCTGGGTTCCACGTGCCGAAACCAGGTTGCCCGTGCCGAAACCCGTTGACAGTAGTTGTTTGTTTTCATCGTAGGGTTGATTCACGTGTGAAGATGCTCGTGAATATGTTGACTATGTATTTGGTGTATAGATACATAAGTTACGTTTAAAATCATTATGATACTATTTGTCAATGAGAGTTCTGAAACATTAGCGTCAAGTGCAGCCTGGCACTTGCTCAGATGTTGGAGTTGCATGATGTGTCCTATCAAGAACAACAGGACAAGACCAACATTGATGGGTGAAAATGGAGGTGGGTCAATCTCCAAAGCATTTCCAGGACCGCTAAAGCATCCCAAGGGACATCAGTATATTACGAAAGCCAGCCTTCGTAGAAGGCGCTAGCGGAGTTGTGTCTGGCGAACGAAGTGAGTAGTTAGGGGGTCGGGGGGGGTGGCCCGAGAAAGGGACACGTCAACTCAGCACATGCTGGGGGAGGAGGGTGCTCCGAGGGAAGGTTTTTTGAGGTTGTGTTGGAGGTGATTTTTGAGGGGTGGTGATGCAAGAAATGCCAAATGCATCATTTGCATCATCTGAATGGAAAGGTGTAGTTGGCACCTTGCAAGGTAGAGAGACCTAGGGTAGCTATAGTGCAGCTACCAGGTATAGTACTTCAAGTTCCCTTTCCGTCAACCGCTTGAGAACCTCTACACACGCACAGCAAGCCACAGCCTTGAAGTCTCACTCGTGCTTTGAACTTGTATAGGTGTGTAAGAGGTATAGCAACATACTACCTGAGAAGCTGCAAAACGAAAGCCAGCGCTTCCCTTTCTCGAGAACTGCGCGTCGAAGCATAGGATAGAAAGGTAGGTCTGCACCCTAGATCCACCATCCCACTCCATTTTCTTTCATTTCTCTACGGCAGCTCCGCTTGGCATGTGCCAGGTGGAGGCGGCCGTGAGACCTCTTACACACCTACACAAGTTCAAAGCACGAATGAGACTTCAAAGCTGTGGATTGCTGTGCGTGTGTAGAGGCTATCGAGCGGTTGACGGAAAGGGAACTTGAAGTACTATACCTGGTAGCTGCAAGCAAGGTGCCAACTACACCTTTCTTTTCAAGGTGGCCTGAACAGAGTGTTTCAGGGCAGTAAACCGTGGTCTCAGGCCACCTTGAAAAAACCACAGCTACATAGCTACCCTGGGTCTCTATACCTGGCAAGGTGCCAACTACACCTTTATTTTCAAGGTGGCCTGCACAGAGTGTTTTAGGGCAGCAAACCCTGGTCTCAGGCCACCTTGAATTTAGCTTCAAAACCACAGCTTTGAAG